CCAACTCAAAAAAAAAAAGTCAGAATTAGAAGAGACAGAGAGACCAGATGGCGGAGCCCCCTCATCCAAATTGTAAGGATCATTTTTTTTAAGCTACACTCACATTGCAGATGTACCTCAATGTGCTTTAGTGATAATCACATTCACAGAAAATTAGTACACAGATTCCAAAAGTAACTTCGAAATAGCAAGAAAATTAGCATGTTTTAAATAGTGATGGCAGAGACTGCATTTTTCAGGAAATCATCAGTGCTCTATCTTCAGTCATGCAGCAGCACTGTTCCAGAAGCTTCTGTGTATTTCTGACTTCCCCAAGTAAAGAAAGAAAATCAAAGGAGAGTTACAAGATCCTCCATTAAGAAAAAAAAAAAAAAAAAAAAGAACTTAGGCAAAAATCCCAAGCCCTAGAGAACTAAAGAGTTTTTAGCATTTGTACTTAAATGAGCCTACAGTTAAGGTTCACCTGCAGAGATATTCTGCCCTTTCCCCAGAGGTGTCAACTCACAGCAGGCTCCTGAGTGGCAGTTTCCACAGCCCTGAGTTTGTGGCAGACCCAGTGATAACCCCACAGTGCTGAAACACATACTTGGGAGTCAGACAGACACAGATTCAAACCCTGGCTCTCCCACTTGGTGGCTGTGTGATGTCAGATAAGTCAGCCTTCTGAGGCTCCATGTCCTCACCCGTAAAAAGGACAATACCATTTGGTTCTTCGGGTATTACTCAATAAATGATAGCTCTCATTACTGATGTTATTATTAACTACAAAGAACAGGCATCAACCACAGTAGGAGAGAGGAATCTATTGCTCTGAAATAATTTGTTATATGAGATATATCACTGACACTGACTGTGTAGGAAATAAAGCATAACTCCAGGACTCTGGGAAGACAAACTCATATATTAGATGATGCCTCAGTGTCTCTTCTAGGACTCACCAGTGGTCTCCAGTCCAGGAAGTTACAAAAAAGACACTAAGCATCAAAACTGCATGTTCCCCACAGGACTAAGAAAATTTAGCCAAGATTGTTCCTTTCTGGATCAAACTTCTCTCTCAGCAGAACTGGCCCTCAGGGAACTCTCCTTGGACACAGCTCAAATAGCTGTGTAAAACCAGGCAATGGAGCTGCTCAAGAAAGCCATTCTCCCTGAGTTGTCCCTGGGATGGTGGACCTTGGTAAGGGATGTCCAAGGATACCCAAGACCTCTGTCATACCTTTCCCAGGTTTTCCAGGTAGAATAAGAATAAACATTAATATGCCAGACATCATCTACCATCTGAAAGAGTCTGACAACATGGGAGGGTCAATTAATTTAGCAGATTTCTGGCTGGGTGAAGTGGCTCACACCTGTAATCCCAGAACTTTTGGAGGCCAAGGAGGGAGGGTAGCTTGAGGCTTGAGGCTAGAAGTTCAAGACCAGCCTGGGAAACATAATGAGACCTGCCTCTACAAAAAGAGAAAAAGAAAAAAATTAGTCAAGCATGGTGGCACAATGCTACTGCAGTCCCAGCTACTTGGGAGGTTGAGGCAGAAGGATCACCTGAGCCCAGAAGTTGGAGGCTACAGTGAGCCATGATTGTGCCACTCCAGTCCATGCTGGATGACAGAATGAGATTAAAAAAAATAAATAAATAACAGATTTCTGACTTTGCTGTAAAGGTGATCTTGAGCCGGCTATCTTTCTTTCAGAAAAACACTTAGACTTTTCTTTCTCATTCTTTATCATCTAAGCCAACAGGTTCACAGACCCACTTACTTTATCCTCAAAGTCTAGAAGTAGCTAAAAGACCATGACACTTCAATAAAAGCCCCTGGTTCCTGGGAATCAGCAGGATGGCGTTGCTTATTTAAAACTACAAGAGTCTCCAATAGAAATCAATCTAAAACCTGACCCAAAGCATACACTCCAGTTGCACTTTGAAAGGTCTGAAGGCTTGAAGTTCCAAAGATCATCACATTTCCTTTATGTGCATACGGCCTTTCAGTTCTAACACCAATGTGCTTTCAAGCTCCCTTCAAAAGGCTGAGGTGAGTGGATTGCCTGAGCCCGCAGGTTCGAGACCCGCCTGGGCAACTTGGCGAGACCTCATCTCTACAATAAATCAAAAAAATTAGCTGGGCATGGTAGCGCGCACCTATAGTTCCAGCTACTTGGAAGGCTGAGGCGGAAGGATCGCCGGAGCACAGCAGGTTGAGGCTGCGGTGGCCAGGAGCAGCCACCGCACTCCAGTCTGGGTGACAGAGTGAGACTCCAACTCAAAAAAAAAAAGTATGATTCCAAAAATAAAACATATGGAAAACTTAGGAAAATCTGTAGCAAAAGGGGTTAAAACTGACAAATCCCTGAGAGTCGCAAGAGGATCCAAAAAGTGAGGACTTCAACACAAATAACCTCCCCACAGCCAACAAAAGGCAGAGGCAAAACGGAATAGAATTGCTCAGAGGAAAATTTCAATTCACATTTTTTGAAATGGGCTTAGGTCAAAGACTTTTAAAAAGTCAAACTCAGAATCAGAGAGTAGAATGGTGGTTGCCAGGGGCTGGGGCGAGGGGAAAATAGGGAGATCTTGGTCAAAGTGTACAATCTTTCAGTTGTAAGATAAATAAGTTCTGAAGATCTAATGTGCAGCATGGTAACTATAATTTGTTGTTGTTGTGTGTGTGTGTTTGAGTTGGAGTTTCATTCTGTTGTCCAGGCTGGAATGTAGTGGCACGCTCATGGCTACCTCAGCCTTGACCTCCTGGGCTCAGGTGATCTTTTCCTTAAGCCTCCCAAGTAGCTGGGACTACTGGTATGCACCACCATGCACGGCTAACTTTTTATTTTTATAGAGATGAGGTCTCACTATGTTGCCTAGGCTGCACTCAAGCTCTTAGGCTCAAGCAATCCTCCCACCTCGGTCTCCCAAAGTCCAGGGATTACAGGCATGTACCATGTACCCGACAAGTGACTATAACTAATAACATACTGTAAACTTGAAAAATGCTAACAGCATAGATCTTAAGTGTTATCACCACACACATAAAAGGTAACTATGTGAGGTGATAGATGTGTTAACTAGTTTGATTATGGAATCACTGCACAATGTGTATGTATACCAAATCATCATATTGCATGCCTTAAATATACACAATTTTTGTCAATTAAACCTCAATAAAGCTGAGAAAACAAAAAAGGAAAAATACTTGCACTAAACACCCAAATATATAAGCTGCATTGTGTTGAAATCAAATCCCGGCTGTGAAAGCCTGAGCATGGTAAATGCTTCCAGAACAAGAAGAGTTCTCGCAGAATCAAAAGATCTTTCGGCTAGAAGGGGGCTTGGTGGTGCTGAGTCTAACCTGTCGTGCGTATAGATCCCCACAGCATACATATACATGGTAATCTAGTCTCTGAATGCATGAATCTGCTGCTAATATGCTGGTGTGATGGCAATGGCTACCACAGAGAAAGCAGAACAGCTCTAGATAAACACTCCTTCTCTGATAAAGCAAAACGTTTTGCTTTACTCCAAATACTAAAGTAGTATTTATGCTACTTTACATGCTCTTTACAAAAACATACTTAAGAGTATGAAAGACTGACCTCCATTCCTAGCTAAAAATGCACCCAAGTTGGGTCCAGCTCAGCCTTGACCTCCTGGGCTCAGGTGATCTTTTCCTTAAGCCTCCCAAGTAGCTGGGACTACTGGTATGCACCACCATGCACGGCTAACTTTTTATTTTTATAGAGATGAGGTCTCACTATGTTGCCTAGGCTGCACTCAAGCTCTTAGGCTCAAGCAATCCTCCCACCTCGGTCTCCCAAAGTCCAGGGATTACAGGCATGTACCATGTACCCGACAAGTGACTATAACTAATAACATACTGTAAACTTGAAAAATGCTAACAGCATAGATCTTAAGTGTTATCACCACACACATAAAAGGTAACTATGTGAGGTGATAGATGTGTTAACTAATTTGATTATGGAATCACTGCACAATGTGTCTTTGTCTTTGTCTTTGACCTAATTCCTTTTACACCTTTCTTCCATGCAAACGTATAGATGATGGCACGTTTCGTTCCCAGGGTGCGAATTCCTCATGAAGATTACTGCCACCCAGAAGCCAGAAGCCTGCACCCAGCATTTCCTAAGCTGCTCACGAAAGTGGCTGACAAAGCTAGAGGAGGTGGGGCCTCATTCAGTAAGCTACTTGTGACTCTGGCCCACTGGATATTAGTCTTTGACCTAAGCCCATTTCAAAAAATGTGAATTGAAATTTTCCTCTGAGCAATTCTATTCCGTTTTGCCTCTGCCTTTTGTTGGCTGTGGGGAGGTTATTTGTGTTGAAGTCCTCACTTTTTGGATCCTCTTGCGACTCTCAGGGATTTGTCAGTTTTAACCCCTTTTGCTACAGATTTTCCTAAGTTTTCCATATGTTTTATTTTTGGAATCATACTTTTTTTTTTTGAGTTGGAGTCTCACTCTGTCACCCAGACTGGGACCTAATTCCTTTTACACCTTTCTTCCATGCAAACGTATAGATGATGGCACGTTTCGTTCCCAGGGTGCGAATTCCTCATGAAGATTACTGCCACCCAGAAGCCAGAAGCCTGCACCCAGCATTTCCTAAGCTGCTCACGAAAGTGGCTGACAAAGCTAGAGGAGGTGGGGCCTCATTCAGTAAGCTACTTGTGACTCTGGCCCACTGGATATTTATGTAAAACAACACTGAAAAAAATGAGAAAAGTAAAAATCAAAAAAGAAAGTGCAGACATATTCCTTTACAACAAATCCTTGCTGCCAGTCTCTGGGGCCAAATGGCATTATTGGCAGAGTGAAAAGTTCTCTATACATGTTGCATATTGTACATACACATGTGCCAAATTAGGCACACACGTGTGTATGTGTGCCCATGTGTGTATTTCACATGTTTGTGCACGTGTCTCTGTGTGCATGTGCACGTGTGTGTGCGGTTTTCACACGTCCAGTTCACTCTCTGGGGGATCTCATACCTGCCACTGGTTTCCTGCCTGACCGGGTACGTAAGGTGCTGGCAGACTCCTAAGGCTGTTCTTCATGGGGGAGCCCCCGAGGGAACTTCCCACATCCCCAGAAGCAGAATCAGCAGCCAAGGCCATGGAATACTGCGGGTAGTTGTACAGATTGTTGTAATAAGGAAACAGAGACGGCTGGTAGAAGCTGCTGTAGTAGGTGGAGTCGGGAACCAAGTCAGGTGTGTTCTCCACGTGCCCTCTGCTGGTGACAGCAGGAATATCCTGGATGACCATACGTCCCTCTAAAAAGAAGAAAAAAGAAAAAGACAACATGGTATGAATGCAGGAGTCCCCAAATCTTGACCTCTAAACCTTGGCAAGAGTTTACCTTCCTCCTCAAGACCTGAAGAACTAGGTACCTGAATCTGCACTGAGCAAACAGTCTGTTGCTTCTCCTACAGACAAGACAAAGGAGGGCTTCCAAGGTTAGCATCACTCTGGTGGCACAGCTTAAAGGCACTTGGCTAGTTATTTTCACTGAAATGACCAAAAACATTTTAAAGAAAGCCTGAGCATGGCAAATGCTTCCAGATCGAGAATAATTCTTCCAGAAACAAAAGATCTGCTAGCTGGAAGGGGACTTGGAGGTACTAAGTCTAACCTGCATAGATTCCTACAATAAATGTATACGATGGTAATCTAGTCTCAATGCTTGTGGTGCCTTGAATCTGCTGCTGGTATGCTGGCTTGATGGAAATGGCCACAACAGAGGAAGCAGAAGAGCTCTAGACAAATGCTCCTTCTCTTATAAAGCAAAATGCTTTGCTTTACTCCAAATACTGAATGCTATGGATTACTTGCTATTTAAAAACATACATTCAAGAGTATGAAATTACATAAAGCCTAAGACTATAACTTCTACCTAGAAATTCCTATTTCTAATGTCAAGAAACTGGAGACCAAACCTAGTCTAAACCTGTCTGTGCATTTTTACAATAAAATTAATTGTACTTCACTTAAATAAAGTAAATAAACACAACAACGCCCTAACTATAGCAGTCACATAGATACGTCAGAAAGTCAAAGCAAGAGGTTAAGAGTTTAAGCCAACATTGTTTCCTTAACTTCCTTCCATAGCTGATACAATGTCCTTCAGAAGTCTGGACAATGGTGTAGTCCAGAGGTAGGCTAACTTTGTCTATGAAAGGTCAGTTAGTAACTAGCTGAGGTCTGGTGAACCAGTCAGTCACTATTGCAGCATGGCTGCGTTACAATGAACTTGTATTCACAAAAACAGGTAATGGGCTGAAAGCTGTATTTTGCCAACCTCTGGCATCGACATGAAACTGTTTATTTTCAATTCCAATAAACAACTGAATAAATTCCTAAGTCATCTGTCCAACAGACGTTTATTAAACAATGTTTTAAGAGCTGGTCCAGGGGCCTGAAATGTCTATACGGTGTCAGGCTGTCCTGCCTGCAGGAAGTTAATAGTTTGGGATTCATGACATGAAGAGATTACAAATATCACCACCGCCCGTCATCTCACAGGAGTACTCAGAAACTTTCAAGGGAAGTCAGAGGAAGGAGAGATGGCTTGCAGTCTAGGAAGGAAATCATTTACAAAGCTGCATCTGAGGCCAGGCACAGTGACTCACACCTGTAATCCCAGCACTTTGGGAAGCCAAGACAAAAGGATCACTTGAGCCCAGGAGTTCAAGACAAACCTGGGCAACATGGTAAGACCTCATCTCTAACCAGAAAAAAGCAAACCAAAAAAAAAAATTTTTTTTTCATTAGCTAGGCATGATGGTATGAGCCTGTAGTACTAGCTACTCAGAAGGCTAAGGCAGAAGGATTGCCTGAGTCCAGGAAGTTTGAGACTGCTGTGAGACGTGACTGTGCCGCTGACTTAGCCTGGGTGACAGGCTGCACTCAGCCTGAGACCCTACTAAAAAACAAAAAACAAACCCAAAAACTGCATCTGAAAAGCCCGAAATAGGTGAAAATGAGAAGAAGGAGAAAGGAGCAGTAAGCCCAAAGGAATGAAAACAGGAAAGTGAAGAAAGAGTTTGGGGTGACGGGCAGGGCAGTCAGGTTGAACAACTGGGTGAGAAAGGGAAGAAGCCCATCCAGCCTGGAAGGGGGTCCAGGGCAAAGGGAGGGAGTCTCAGGCCAGCTCTCTGGACTCTCTCTAGGATGCAGCCAGAGCCCCTGAGGAGTTCTAAGCAACTCCACATCAGAGATTGGATAAATCTGTCTAATGGCAAGTCTTCAGACAAGTGAAAGAGGAAGAGATCAGAGGCAGGGAGACTTGCTAGGAAGTCTCCAAAGTCCTTTAGGAGAGACCTCAGAAGCCTGCAAATAAGAGAGAGGTTCCAGGGACATGTGGGGGATGCAACTCAACAGACCTGGAGGGCTGAGGGGACTTCTGGAATTAAGACACAGAGGGAGGCAAGCACAGGAGCCCAGGTGTGTAGAGGAAAGGGCGGGTGCTCACAGGTGGAAGGCTGAGTAAGGGTGAGGAACTTGAAACCATCTCATGGAGAGGCTGAGATCCAGGAGTCACCACTCAGAGGTGCTAGGTGCATCCAGAGGTGGTGGGGGAGGGAATAGTTGTTCCAAAGAAAAGGAGACCCAAGGCTGGAATCGTGGAGAAGGGAGAACACCCTGTCACAGAGGCCAGTGTGTCCTCTCAAGAGCAGATCACCGAAGGAGTAGGCTGCAGAGTAAACTGCTGCTAGGAGATCAAGCAAATAGTTCTGGAAAAGACCATTGATGACCAGGTTTTTTATTTTGTTTTTTACAGTGGTGGGGTACATGTGAGGATTTGCCACATAGTTTCATTTCACACAGGTGAGAGGTTTGGGCTTCTGGTGAGCCTTCTCCCCCGGGAGTGGACATGGTACCCAATGGGAGGTTGTGGGCCCCTCATAACCCCTCTCTCCCTCTTTAGCAGATGACCAGGTCTCTGGGGCCTTGTGGTTTTAGCATAGTGGAAGTAGATGCTGGCCTGCAACAGAGCAAGGAGCAAGCAAGCAATGAGCAGGAATTGGAAAAGATGAATGCAGTGAATGGCCTTCTATCCTGTCAGGGCATAAGATCTACAAGAAGGTACCCTGCCTTTGGGTGCGCCAGAGTGTTCCCCATGCCAAGCACATCACCAGACACAGAGCAGTCAATATGAGCCGAATAAATCCATGAATAATGGTTTCAAAAGTAGCCTGGCATCAAAAATAATGTGAGTTAAAAGTAAAAGCTCCAGGCCGAGCTTGGTGGCTCAGCCTGTAATTCCAGCACTTTGGGAGGCCGAGGTCAGTGAATTACCTGAGCCAGAGGGTTCAAGAGCAGCCCAGACAACTTGGCAAGCCCTCACCTCTACAATAAATTAAAAAAAAAAAAAATCAATTAGCCAGGTGTGGTAGTTGCGTGCCTATAGTTCTGGCTACTTGGAAGCCTGAGGCAAAGGATTGCTGGAGCCTAGCAGTCGATGCTGTGGTGGCTATGAATGCGCTACTGCACTCCAGCCTGGGTGACAGAGGGAAGCTCCAACTCAAAAAAAAAAAAAGTAAAAGCTCCAGGAAGTCATAAGATCTTGTCTTACACGCAGAGAAGGCCAGGCTAAGTGGCTCAGCCTGTAATCCCAGCACTTTGGGAGGCCGGGGCGAGTGGATTGCCTGAACCTGGGGGTTCAAGACCAACCAGGCAACTTGGCAAGACCTCGTCTCTACAATAAAAATAAAAAATTAGCTGGGCGTGGTAGTGTGGCTGTAGTTCCGGCTACTTGAAAGGCTGAGGCGGAAGGATTGCCAGAGCCCAGCAGGTAGAGGCTGCGGTGGCCGGGAGCAGCCACTGCACTCCAGTCTGGGCGGCAGAGTGAGACTCCAACTCAAAAAATAATAATAATAAATAAAAATAAAAAATAAAACGCAGAGAAGGTTTAAGAATCTCCAGGCAGAGAGGGAGGCTCATGAAGAGAAATCCTCAGCACAACAGATGGCCCAAAGAAGGTGATCAAACAGTTTGTAGAACAAAATATGTATTTGTTTCCTTACTTGTTTGAGACAGGGTCTTCCTTTGTCACCCAGGCTGGAGTACAGTGGTGCAGTCACAGCTCACTGTAGCCACAAACTCCTGGATTTAAGTGCTTCTACCACCTCAGTCTCTCTAGTATACTTTTAAAGCCTTATTTTAAAGTTAGCACAGTGTCTCACACCTGTAATCCCAGCACTTTGGGAGGCTGAGGCAGGAGGATTGCCTGAGCTCAGGAGTTCGAGACCACTCTAGGAAACAGAGTGAGAATTTGTCTCTATCTATTAAAAAAACTCAAGGTCGGGCATGGTGGTTCAAGTCTGTAATCCCAGCACTTTGGGAGGCCAAGGTGAGTGGATTGCCTGAGCCCACGGGTTTGAGAACAGCCTGGATAGCTTGGCAAGACCTCATCTCTACAATAAATCAAAAAATTAGCCAGGCATGGTAGCATTCGCCTATAGTTCCAGCTACTTGGAAGGCTGAGGCGGAAGGATCGCTGGAGCCCAGCAGGTCGATGCTGGGGTGACCATTAACTATGCCAATGCACTGCAGCCTGGGCAATGGAGTGAGACTCCAACTCAAAAATAAATAAATAAATAAATAAACTTAAAAATAAATAAATTTCCAATAAAAAATAAAGTCAGCTGGAGTCCCTTTTCTCTGAAAAAATACCAAATCCACCCACCACAGGCTCTAGTCAATGCACTGCCAAGCCATTATTTGATTCTATTTTCTTCCTTTCTTTTCTCCTTCTCTTCCCAGCTAGTGACATAAGACATATCAATTTTTCATTATTTCACACCCCCAGCTCTCTATGTCTCAACAGGGCATACGTCTATTCTTTTCTCCTGAACTTCCCCACAGTGCCTCTCTATTATTTTAAACACCGATTTGGAAGCGTAACTGGTGGTTTTCGGCATCTAAATATTTTGTTTCCAATTTCATACCTCTGTTGTTTATCTGATTAAAAGACAATAGAAGCATCTCAAAATTGACAAATTATATGGACATCTAAATCAGAAAAAGCTTGAATGACATACTCCCACCACTCAGTCATAAACATTAGTGGTTCATCCCTATACAATCTCATAGGCATTTAGGAAGGCATTTTAGGTGCTTATTTGTGTCCCTGTAGTGGAAAACACTGAATACCCCCACGGGCCTGTCCTCCAAAAGCAAGGTACTTACTAAAGAAAAACACAGCGGCAGACAAAGAATTTAACAGAAACCCAAGGCCTCCAGCATTCTAGGATCAGGGCACAGCACAGGT